GCAGACCTCTCAGTGCAGTTAACAGGGTCGTCTGAAAGGTGGGAGGCGGTGAAGGACGAGTCGGGTGTCCTGCATCTCCACGGCACGGGTATCGTCACGTCCAATGGACAGTACGTTCTTCCTCTCCAGAGCCTTCAGGGTCTCCAGAACCAGCCCATCTTACTCACGTCAGGGACCGACGCGTCCGCCGGCGCAGTGCCTAACATCCAATACCAAGTCATCCCTCAGGTGCAGACGGCCGAAGGGCAGCTGGGTTACTCTGCCTCTGCCGTCGAGGGGGCCTCGATGGCGCAGGACGCCACAGGGCAGATCCATATTCTCCCAGACGGCACCCAGACCATCAGCGTCACGGGCGCAGACGTGCTCAGCAACAGTCAGAACCTCATGACCCAGTCTGGCCAAGTGCACCAGATCCCGCAGGTGTCTCTGGGAAGCTCTGCCTTCAGCACTCAGGGTCAGGTGGTCACTAACGTGCCTCTGGGCTTGCCTGGTAACATTACCTTTGTGCCCATAAATAGCGTGGATCTGGACTCTCTCGGGCTCTCGGGAGCCCAGCCGATCGCCACCGGCGTCACGGCTGACGGACAGCTGATCATGACCAATCAGAGCGTGGAGCACTCTGAGGGCTCGGCCAAAGCAGGGGAACAGCAACAGACATTCAACTCCAGTGCAGCCGCAGACATGTTTGTGCCTACCACGTCTTCAGCGTCCTCCTCGTCCTCACAGCAGCCCACCAACACGATAGACGGCACGGGCGTGTTGATGCAGTCTGCGGCGGGAGAGCAGGGAGACGGCTCGGGCTACCTCAGTCAGTGCGCGGTGCAGGTGTCTGGAGGACAACAGGTGATCCAGTTACAGCAGTTGCCCTTCCAGACCGCTGACGGTCAGGTGTCTGCTCAGGCCCAGCAGTCTCTGCAAAACGTCCAGCTCATCAACCCAGGAACCTTCCTCATCCAGGCCCAAACCGTCACTCCGTCAGGACAGATACAGTGGCAGACCTTCCAGGTATGAGGTTATAGATCAGATTATTGTTTTAAATTACATTTTTAGATTTGAGAATTAAATTTAGATTAGATTTATTCATTTAGCTGACGCTTTTATCCAAAGCGACTTACAACAAGTGATTCATCATAAAGAGGCAAATAAACAAAGGAAGTGCTCGTAATTCAGACATTGTTCAGATTAGTAAAAGCTAGACCGGGAGGGATTACGGAAAGAGAAAGCAAAGTTCTTTTTTTTTTTTTT